CTTACCTTCTGGAATAGTAGTGAAAAGTAAAAGAAATCCTTTTCTTTCTTCAAGTTCATCTGTGTGGAATGTCAGCACAGCATAGTCGCCAGTAACAAGAGCTGTCTGTCCGGTTTTCTTTCCACAGTGTTTACCAAGGTTGAGGTTGTTCTCGTTATTAATCGAAGTAATCATCAAATAGTCATATCTGCCGGCAAAGATGCGTGTCTACTTTAATTGCGTAAGTAAGAGCCTTGAAGAACCAATATGTTTAATTGTCAATGCCTGGAGCGATTGTTTATGCACATTGACTTCCCATGGTATTTCACTATGGCTAGCTCCATGAGCGGGCAAGATGAACCGAATCCTGCGCTGTAATTGGCTACTCGAGCGGGCAAGATAGTACTTGTCGGTTCGGAATTACCTTCTGGGTGCACCAAAGAAAATAGCGTTTTTTTTTCTCATTTAATAAATCCTTTATTGAGCAAGCTTGTTCGGCTGGATATTGGCCTTGTTCTTTTTTTGCGTGTTTATGGACGTCGACTCTGTCTCTGTCTATAAACAAGCATAAAAAGAACTTAGCTAATATCAGCCATCTTGACCGAGCAAGCTTGATCCGTAACCCGGTGCCTGCAACAGGAAGGGTTAAAATGCGCTTGCGATTTTCGCTGTCAATCAAATTTCCCGCAATCAGCGTATTCAGTCACTTTGTGTTTCACTAGTTTGGTACCATCATGACTTACTCGCAATTAGGCTCAGGTTCCACGTCAAAATCCTTAAAAATAATGTTCAATCTTGTGTCTTGTAGAATAGGAATCACATAGAAACATTCCGTTCCATTTTGATAGTTGTCTGGATAACCAGGACTTTTCAGAGTGTTGTTTACAACTTGGCCACAAGCTAATAAAACAAAGTAAACTAGTATAAACCCTCTCTTTAATGATGAACATGAATATCACATACAGTCGAACCTCCCGTAAAGAAGCACCCAAAATTTTAAGCCTAGGTGGTCGCTAACGAGAGCCTAGACCATATAGGTCAAAATTTTGCTTCATTTGCATATGGTAAGTGCAGAGACTTACATCATGTTTTAAATGTTTTATTCATGTGAAAAATCAATTTCGAGAAAAAATCCGTTTCTTATCATTGAGAAATTTCCGTCTCTTAAGTCTCTTCGATAATGTTACAACACCTTATTATCCAATTTACGCTCTATTACCTTCCAAGTGGTCACTTACGGGAGGTTAAAAACAGACGAAAATTTCAAACTGTTAAGGCTAAAAGTGGTGACGGTCGCTTACACGAGGTGGCCGCTTAAAAGAGGTTCCAAATATAGTCATATGACTAGGAAACTTTTGGTATTTTGGAAAATGCTCGAAACCGGAAGTTCGAATGTAATGACAACAACCGACAGTCGATCATTATTAATTTTACAGCGAATCGTGGTGTGTTTACTTAGTACTAATATATTGACTAATTTTTTGTAACATGCAAAGTTACCTCCAGATCGGGGACAACTGCAAAATAAAAGTTTGCTAAGGTAAAAAAAAAGGAAGAAAGTATCCTAACAAGGTAAAAATGAGATTAAAAAAATGAAGAAGGATTGTAGTAATTAATTAAACCACAAAACGTTAGTACTTTGGGCTAAACCGGTTTAAAATGCATCATCCGTGACTGTTGCCCCGGCACACCCACTTAGCCCCTGTTAAAACCAGTGATGTTGAATATACAAGATACAATAATTATTAAGACTAGAAAACCATATGGAATCTAAAGAAAAATTTTAAAAGCATTACGAAATAAAATTTTACCGTTTTCTGGTTGCTGAGTAGTCGTTCTGTTCCCTGTTTAAAACAGCTTGACGTTAGAATTCAACATTAAAATACAACAGGAAAATACAACACGCTTCAGCTCATGCCAAACATAGGCCCGCAATGATCGAAAGTTTAAATTTGGTATAAATGCTATGGTTATGATTATTTTCTTGAGTATCATGGTAGTTTGATATGTTAGTGTGTGGATAACAGATGTAAAGAAATGAAAGAAGAGCAGCCTTATCACGATAAAAAATGCTTTTTCGATATTTTTACCAGAGCAGAAAGGTTTTGGAAAAGGTTTTTGAGTTGAAGTGTGTCAGACTGGGAGTCCAGTCCAAGGAACTACTTTCCTCGAGAAAGATTTTATTCAGAAATGCGGTGCTTGATCTTCTTTTTCGTTCTTGCGGTGGAGATTCGGGCTTCGTACTTACCGATTTGAACAGCGGTGAAAACTAGCAGAAATCCTTGGTGTTGAAATTCTTCGTCTGAGTGAAATTTTATCACGACATAACTTCCATTGACAAGGACTGTGTGCCCAGTCATTAAACCACAGTATACGCCATACTTGTAGTTTTGTTCATTATAGATCATCAAATGGTCAAACCTAGAAAGCAGAGATATATAACTTACGTTTAGCTTTCTTGAAGCCCGGTGTCTCACGAAGTAGGTTTTTAATTTAGGTCTCGCTAATCCTCCTGGGAATGAATATATGTTTGTTGTTGAGCACCAGTTAACTTAAAGGAGTTCAGTCGCGGAATTTCGAGTTTTTTTGGCGGCGTACAAAATCACTTCAAATTGAAGAAAACCTGAAAATAGTAGTTTACTATGATAGAAAAACACCAAAGAGATTATAATAAACCATAAAGAAACAAGGATGGTTAAGGATGGAGAAGATTACCACAGATAATAAACGACAAACTTACAAAATTTAGCCTAAGCTTTTCAAGATGCTCAAACCGTGACGTAGCTCCTTTAAGCCCTACAGTTTGAGTCTGAGCGGCTTGATCATCATTATCTTGTAAACTGAGGATCTTGTTAGTGTGATAGTAGAGGGATGTCTACCAAATGACCTAATTTTATCTATCATATTATGGAGCAATGAGGTGTCCATATTTCGCGCCTATGCTGTGATGTTAGGGAATCTGAAGGCTACTTACCCGCAAGACGCACCATCCTCTATGTAAAAATAGTTAAAGGTAACTTTCATGTCCATATCACGTGGAATGGGAACCACATATACACAGTCTGTGTTGTTTAGATAGTCGTTTGGATACCCAGGGCTTTTTAGTGTGTTGTCAACTACTGTGCCACAAACTGTAAAAGGAAAACTCATTTTAAATTCTGACTCACGCAATTAAAGAATAAAAACGGCACAGGACACTGAATCGCCCGTGTACAGCAAAACCAACAACAACAACAACAACAGCAACAACAACCACAACCTTTGTATTAATATAAGTTACTTGCATGTAAAGTAAAAAAAAACAACAACAACACGGAAAGAACGTCAAAAACACGCAGACAAAAAAATAATAAAAAATAAATTATAATATCACTCGACACTATTAAATTGGGAAGTAGCTGCCCAGAATGCCCTCAATAGAAAGTTCTCTGTCCTAGTTCCCGTCAGTGCTACCTTGCCAAATTCCACTAAATATACAGATAAATTCGATAAAATAGATTCTACAGGGTGAAATGGAACTTTCAAGTGATTTGGGGACGGGGATTATAATTCATCAAATTCCATTTTGAAGACGTCAAGACATTGCCATGATTCTGGTGAAATTTTGAATTTTTGATTCATAATTATTTTCTTTTTAGTTGATATTTCTTCGCATTCACCACCATTGGCATTTTTTTCTTTCTATTGCAAGATAATAACGCAAATTTATAGCAAGTTCTTGGCCATAGTTATTAAAAACATGACCCTATCAGTCGGCGGGACACTATTAAAAGTTTGAAAACACTTTCTACAATAAAAAAGGATAAAAATAAATAAATATTTAATTTACCTTGGGTATTAGTTTGGCTTGACATAATGAACCGCGTACACAGCCACAAGATACCGAGAAAGACTGGGAACATTCTGTTCTTACTGTCTGGGTAGTGCCTTTGTAATTAGCTGGAACAAGATTAGATGTTAAATTCACTTGATAATTAGTTAAGGTAATTCTGTTTATCAATACACAAATTAGTGTGCTTCATGAAGATGTTAAGACGAAATCCGATAGAAAATCGAGCAATTTCAGTTCTTAGTGGACAAAAATCTAGTACCAGAAGAATTTTAAGTATTTTACAGTCCTTTTTACATTTTCTTAAAGCTTAAGGTATAAATAGCTGCCTGAAATAACAGCGAAAACAATTTCCCTTGGGAACGAAAGAAAAAAAATTTCAAAGTTCAGAGAAATTGTGCAAACACAGGCAAAATCTCATCATCAGTTTCATTTCACCAGTACTTTCAAGTGATTCACGCAAAGTTCAACATTTGTTTTCGACGTTTGGTGTTGCTAGAAATGATTTTGTTTGAGAAGATATTTAAAATAGTCGTGGTGAAGTTTGCAATACGATGCAAATAATATTGGTACAAAATTTTGTCCACTTGTTACTCGAACTTCTGGTGAACTCCGTCTTAATACAAAGACAGAAAGGACTTCATTAATACTACAGCATCTGTTTCAAAGTGACTGTTGGCGGCGTTGTTTGTGGGTTTCTGCACGCGGTGCCATTAGCCTGAACAGGCGGGCGGATATCTCTGGTCCTTCAATCTTTCTCACACACACGTCATGGTCACTTGACCGTAGATTTGTTTCAGCAAATCATGTTTATTTTTATATTATAATGTAGGTAGGACCCTACGCGCGCTCTGATTGGTCAAAAACCCATGTTTAATCAGAGTATAAAACATAGAAAAAGCGTGTTATATTGTTTTAATGTTTATCGCCCCATAACCTCTATATCATAAAGCAAATGAAGAAGCCTAAGCCGTGTATTACACTGCCTGCGGCTTGTATTTTCTACATTTCTCTCGTGTTCTCAAATGCCCGTCGTGTTTCGTCACAGTGTAATACACGGCTTAAGCTTCTTTATTTGTTAAATGGGCACCTAGATTTTATTTTATCTATATTAGGTTTTTTATAACACTTACATTTTACTTTATAGGTGTCAATGAAAGAATAGTAGCTCTAGAATAAGAGTCGAGTTTCTTTTTTTTTTTTAATGATAACAGAAGCCGTGAACTCAGTCACGTCTGTTTTATCTTACAAACGTTTCAAATTTTGACCTACTGTAACAGGCATTTTGCTCTTAATAGCTATGAATAAGCGTAGCGTTAAGCTAGTAATTCAACTCCCGGCGAGGTTAAAATCTTTTTTTTGTAAACAAAGAAGCACTGCTTTCAAAAGGTTTGTTTTTAACCCAGAAGGAAATTTACATATGATCGTTTTTTTGCTAGCAACACGCCCAGCCTGCTTTCACGCATCTCTGACCGCAACTAACAACAAATCCAACAAAACTAACCATGATCATTTACTAATGGCCCCGTCGCCTTTGCTTAGAACCTTTCAGTTGATCATTCATAGCGAATGTAGAAGCTGATTACTCGTGACTTTACTTAAACAAAATACTGATATTGCACCGCCCTTGCTTTTCAACACTTAAGGGTTTGATCAATTATTTTTAGGAGTGGACAACAAACCAAGTCGGCTTTTGTTTATATACGTTTGTAATTTCTTTTACCGAGTTTACTGACTCAGTTTTAAACTCTGTGAGAATACTATACTGCCTTTACTGAGTAATGTGCTGGGTTTTCTAGCCATAGGTTATCATGACGAATCAAGTATTTGTTTTACCTCGTTACGACTGATTAGTGAGACAANATAGTAGTGAAAAGTAAAAGAAATCCTTTTCTTTCTTCAAGTTCATCTGTGTGGAATGTCAGCACAGCATAGTCGCCAGTAACAAGAGCTGTCTGTCCGGTTTTCTTTCCACAGTGTTTACCAAGGTTGAGGTTGTTCTCGTTATTAATCGAAGTAATCATCAAATAGTCATATCTGCCGGCAAAGATGCGTGTCTACTTTAATTGCGTAAGTAAGAGCCTTGAAGAACCAATATGTTTAATTGTCAATGCCTGGAGCGATTGTTTATGCACATTGACTTCCCATGGTATTTCACTATGGCTAGCTCCATGAGCGGGCAAGATGAACCGAATCCTGCGCTGTAATTGGCTACTCGAGCGGGCAAGATAGTACTTGTCGGTTCGGAATTACCTTCTGGGTGCACCAAAGAAAATAGCGTTTTTTTTTCTCATTTAATAAATCCTTTATTGAGCAAGCTTGTTCGGCTGGATATTGGCCTTGTTCTTTTTTTGCGTGTTTATGGACGTCGACTCTGTCTCTGTCTATAAACAAGCATAAAAAGAACTTAGCTAATATCAGCCATCTTGACCGAGCAAGCTTGATCCGTAACCCGGTGCCTGCAACAGGAAGGGTTAAAATGCGCTTGCGATTTTCGCTGTCAATCAAATTTCCCGCAATCAGCGTATTCAGTCACTTTGTGTTTCACTAGTTTGGTACCATCATGACTTACTCGCAATTAGGCTCAGGTTCCACGTCAAAATCCTTAAAAATAATGTTCAATCTTGTGTCTTGTAGAATAGGAATCACATAGAAACATTCCGTTCCATTTTGATAGTTGTCTGGATAACCAGGACTTTTCAGAGTGTTGTTTACAACTTGGCCACAAGCTAATAAAACAAAGTAAACTAGTATAAACCCTCTCTTTAATGATGAACATGAATATCACATACAGTCGAACCTCCCGTAAAGAAGCACCCAAAATTTTAAGCCTAGGTGGTCGCTAACGAGAGCCTAGACCATATAGGTCAAAATTTTGCTTCATTTGCATATGGTAAGTGCAGAGACTTACATCATGTTTTAAATGTTTTATTCATGTGAAAAATCAATTTCGAGAAAAAATCCGTTTCTTATCATTGAGAAATTTCCGTCTCTTAAGTCTCTTCGATAATGTTACAACACCTTATTATCCAATTTACGCTCTATTACCTTCCAAGTGGTCACTTACGGGAGGTTAAAAACAGACGAAAATTTCAAACTGTTAAGGCTAAAAGTGGTGACGGTCGCTTACACGAGGTGGCCGCTTAAAAGAGGTTCCAAATATAGTCATATGACTAGGAAACTTTTGGTATTTTGGAAAATGCTCGTAACCGGAAGTTCGAATGTAATGGCAACAACCGACAGTCGATCATTATTAATTTTACAGCGAATCGTGGTGTGTTTACTTAGTACTAATATATTGACTAATTTTTTGTAACATGCAAAGTTACCTCCAGATCGGGGACAACTGCAAAATAAAAGTTTGCTAAGGTAAAAAAAAAGGAAGAAAGTATCCTAACAAGGTAAAAATGAGATTAAAAAAATGAAGAAGGATTGTAGTAATTAATTAAACCACAAAACGTTAGTACTTTGGGCTAAACCGGTTTAAAATGCATCATCCGTGACTGTTGCCCCGGCACACCCACTTAGCCCCTGTTAAAACCAGTGATGTTGAATATACAAGATACAATAATTATTAAGACTAGAAAACCATATGGAATCTAAAGAAAAATTTTAAAAGCATTACGAAATAAAATTTTACCGTTTTCTGGTTGCTGAGTAGTCGTTCTGTTCCCTGTTTAAAACAGCTTGACGTTAGAATTCAACATTAAAATACAACAGGAAAATACAACACGCTTCAGCTCATGCCAAACATAGGCCCGCAATGATCGAAAGTTTAAATTTGGTATAAATGCTATGGTTATGATTATTTTCTTGAGTATCATGGTAGTTTGATATGTTAGTGTGTGGATAAC